GTCTCTTATGCTGTCTAAAGAAGGTATTTGAAATAAACAAATCATTTGTCTTGCAGAAATCTATCAGAAATACATCAAAGCTAGTAAGTGAGCTAAGCCTAAGAAGTTTTACATCAAAGTGGGCTAAAGATAAAACATTGATTAATAGATATCAGATGTTAAGTCAGAAGTATGGACTATACAGTCCTTCATTCCTCACTTCTTTTTGGGAACATAAAATCTTTGACTACACAGATATTTCATTTTCAAACGCTAGGGGTGCATATCAGGGTTGCAATACTAATAGTTTGATAGCTTGTATACGTTTTCGAATGTATGTAGAGAGACTATTAAAATTGCATGGTCCTATTAATAGCCCTATTAGTAGTATAGCCAAAGGTTCTGCTATTGCCAATAGGAGGATGGTGAGCCATGCAGACCAGGAAAAAAGATTTGCATGCCAATTGTTGGAAGCCTGGTTTTGATATCTGGTCTTTAGGTTGTCTCTGACCAAAGCTAAAGTTTCTCTAATCACTCCTGATTGATTTGCATAAAAACAGCAAGTTTCTCCTAGTGCTGCACACAGTCCCCCTTTCATAAACAACAATTTCAAGCCTCTCCTATTTTGTAGGACTACTTTGTCTAGAGAATCTACCTGTTGGTCTAATCTAGAAATAGCTGATTCTAAGAATCCTAAGTCTTGCTTAACTTGAGCTGCTAGAGTTTTAAATCCTTAGTCTTGTAGTATAAGAGCCTAGGAATCTATAGCTGTGACCCCAGCTATTCCAGCCACTAATAGTATTGGAATGAGAATCGGGGTACGTTTTTTCCTTATGATAGTAATTGGCTGGGCAGCAAAATGTGCTCTTCCTTCAATTCCATTATACAGAAATATTTCTGGAAGGATGTGTACTAGAATACAAAACTCAGAGGGCCCCACGGCTGACGTAAGGGCAGTCTCCAGGAGGCATTTAGTGACTCCTTTTGTGCAGGCGAACCATGCTTCATCAGGGGCTAGTATCACCTGAGTACTCTGGCTGTCAGTGGAAGTTATTTCATAAACCTGGGAGTCATTGCAAAGTTTAGAATATCGGGATCCTGCAAGGGAATAGGTTTGGCTCATATAACAAGTTCCCTTGCTCTGGATGGCTCTTAAAATTATCGGGGCTGGGGCCACTGACCAGGAATAATTAGAGGCTTTTACCTTCTTTCCCACCCCTGTATAGGCTACTCCGATATAATAAGGGGGTTTAGCATCTAGGCAGAGCCAACAATCTTTTGCTAGTTGTGGGTCTGTGGAGTTAAGGATGTTATGCATAGTCTGAAGCATGTTAAAAATAGGAACCTCTTGTGGGGTCATAGTAGAGTATGAGACCCCTGGGAGTTTGGTTTCAGGTGGAAGAGTTACTTGGGGTTTTTTCTGGTGGGGGTCATGGGTTGATTAAATCCTGATTTGGCCCAATGGGGATCAGAGCCGTATTCTGGGGGGGTGGGGGCACGGTATGCTTAAATAGTAACTTCAGTTCCGGGGGTCCTCTCCCGTAACATAGAATCGTAGGCCCCAGGTACGGCCAGTAAGCCAATTGCTAAGGGTTACGTCTTTTAATCTGATGGTTAAGGGGTTGCAGGTTCTTTTTACTTTACAAGAAGAGTTGTGTCCCAGGGTGGCCTTTATATATCTATCCTCATTTTTCCAGGATGCGCTAGTTTCACAATCCCACGATGCACAATGATATTGACCCTCCTGATTACAGTGGGGGGGGGGGGTCCGTTTGCTGGACACATGTAAAATTGAATTCCCTTTATAGCTTTTTCCTGAGTAACCAAACCGCAGCCCCATCGGAACCCAAGCTTTCCTCCTTTAGCAGTAGTAGGGGGCATTCTATCTATAAAGGCTAGTTTACACAAATCAAAAGAAAGGGCGGGGAGCTTGTCCCCTGTGGAATTGAGTTCTGCCAGTTTGGTCACTGATCCGGTGGCGCGCACTTCCCACCTTAGGGATGGTGGGCGATAGGGGTTATCGCCCGCCAAACTTGGGGGCCATAGAAGGACCCACAAGATTAGGATCGTTCCGAAACAGTTTTATCTTGGTAGGAGATTCTCTACGGTGTCAACGACGGCAGGTTTGACCGTGGGTGTAGGAAATAGCCTGTATTCTTCTTCCAGTGGACAAGTGAGCATGATCCGGCTTGGGGAGGTAAAGGACAAGGAGGTGTTTTGTTCAGTAAAATATATAGAAGCTTACATCTTTTTAAACAGATCCCTTCTTAATAAGGGGTATGGGGTATGGGCAATCTGGTATTACTAAGAATGAGTGAGTCACAGTCTCCTGCCCTAACTAGACCGTACGCTCGGTAGTCCAGGGTTGTTGTTAAGTGCCGTCGAGTCTGTTCCGACCCATAGCGTCTCTGAACAGGATTTCCGAGGCTGTAAATCTTTACAGGAGCAGCTGGTAGTTTCGAACTGCTGACCTTTAGGTTCGTAGCCCAATTCGTAATCACCACGCTATCAGAGCTCCTTGTGGTCCAGGGGTAGGCTTTTATTTTTCCCATAGCCCCCTGGACCTGAGTCGTTCGAGAGGTTACTTCCCCTGAGGATGGCGCAGGAAAGAGTGGGTGGCCCCGTGTCTATGAGAAATTTAACAGGTTCGTGGTTAACTTTCAGAGTTAACATGGGCTCCCCGGGGCTCACCAGGAGGGAGCCACGGCCCCTTCAGTCTTCTTGAAGGGTGAAGACTTGCTTCGGGCTCTATGCCTGGCGATTCGGGCACTCATTTTTCCAATGTCCTATTCTCTTGCAATGGGCACATTGATCTTTCCCCAGCACCGGTCCGCTCCCAGTTTCCCCCTATTAGATTACTTTTATTACCTGGTCCTCTGTTCATTGTGCGGCTATAGTTTCGGTCCGTTTGGATATTCAATGCCACGATAGTGGCTCGGCTCAACTTTTTTGCCATCACATTCTCGGGAAAATCTCTCGGTTACTGTAGGTTTTCTGCTCAATGGCCAATAACTCCGATCTAGTCTTTCTCTCAAATCCTTCCAATTTTTGTCATTTCTTTCTAATATCTGGGGCTGACTGCGCGACAAAGGCTAGGTTAATAGCCTGCAAATTCTCTGAGGCCTCTGGGTCTATGGGGGTGTAGGTACGATATGCCTCCAAGAGGCGTTCTAGGAAGGCAGCAGGGGACTCAGAGGCCCCTTGTGTGATTGCGCTTACCTTCGATAAGTTCGTGGGTTTGCGCACCGCCCCACGGAAACTTTTTAGCAGAGCCCCGGCGATAGGTGTCAAGAGCCTCCTTACCTGCATTTGTGTGAGGATCCCAGTCTGGATGTTGGGTTGAGAACCTGCGCTAGAACCTGCGCTGAAACCGTGCCTCGGAATCTGGGCAGTCCACACTCTCGGTCCCCAGGATTTCTTTCCGTGCTTCCGCAAGGATTCGTTCACGCTCTTCTGACGTGAAAAGTGGATGGAGTAACTGTTGACAATCATACCAGGTGGGTTGATGGGTAAAAAAGCCAGATTCAAGGAGAGAGACAAGGGCTTGGGGCTTCTCGGAAAAGCGTGGGTTCTGATGTCTCCAATTATAGAGATCTGTGGTAGTGAAAGGGACGTATACGTAGTTGTCCGGCCCTGCTTGTCTAAGAGGTATTATTGGAGCAGCATGTGTTGAAGAGGAGACGGAGTGGGAACCATAGGATACCCCAGATCTGGGATGAAGTGGGGAGAGAAACCCCTGTGAGTCAGGCGAGGGTGCGGAGGGTCTATCACGGGGCGTTTGGTACATTGTAGGGAGGCGGGAGCAATGGGAGGTCGTCCCCTGGGTCCGCCAGGACTGGTGGTGGTTTCGGGCTCATCTTGCCCTTGGGAGCCTGGTGGACTAGGAGGATATTAGAACCCAGTTGTAAAGATCAGATTTTTAACCAAGGCGGGGGGTGGGGGTGGGGGTTAGCAATCAAATTGTAGCAAATGTCAATATATGGAAATTGATCTGGATGCCCAGGAGTTCCGGTGATCACTTTTCATACCTATGGGTCGGGGAAGGGTCAAATGAACCTATACTGGGCCATCCGACCTCTAATGTGGGCCATTCTATCTCACACAGGGTACGTAGGCGCCCCCTAGATAGGGACATCCCATAAATATCAGCCTGTTCAAGAGAAAAAACATTTTTAAAATGCAAAAGCATACAGTCAAACGGGGTCTTAGGGCTTGAAGATATATTTCCCATTCTGTAAGAACAAACGCGGATGACAAGTAAGGCAATCCGGACAATTAACACAACAATAAGATAGACAATTGGCCAAACTACCAATACTTTTTTCCAAAGTGATCAGACTGACGTCTCAGTCCTGTCACACGGCAGGGGAATTATGTCGCGTCCGACAACCTTACTGCCGACCCTGGAGTGAGTACCCCTTTTCCAACTCGAGTCTCAAAGGGACTCACCTCCGGAGGTTTTTTCCAAAAGGCTTGTTTCCTGTCTCTGGTGTCTAGTCCGGGAGGGGCCGGCTGGGTCCGATCGCCGTCTCAGGTCTCAGGGCGCGCTCCCCTGGCGTCAACCCGTCGGGTCCTCCTTTCTGGTCCCGGCGAGGGGCAGCCGTCCGAGGGCACGATCTAGCTGGGGCCTCCAAATGTTAGGCTGTCGTTCAAGATAATGCACTTGGAGGCTCTGTGACCTAAATGGCAAGCCTTTATTCAGCGGATCCGTAGAGACAGACAGCACCTATGCCAAAGTGCTGACAAGGGTCTGTCTCACCCTCTGCCCCAGCCAAGGGTCTTTAAGGGAAAAATACATTCTGGGTGGTCAGTGAACTCCCAAAGGAGGTACATCTTGTTTGGCAGTTACAATCTCTTTGTGATGTACTTTGATCTAACTCTATAACTTCACTTGGTTTACTTTTCCCAGGAGAGAAGGGAGATGAGGATAGGTTACCAGAACCAAGATAAACATAGTACACTTAACTATTCATCTAGCTGTCACAAGATGCAGGGGATCCTACAGTTTGCTATAAGTCATTGTTTCATTACAACAGGTTGCATCAGAGTCGATTTACATCAAAGCTAGTAAGTGAGCTAAGCCTAAGAAGTTTTACATCAAAGTGGGCTAAGGATTAAACACTGATTAATAGATATCAGATGTTAAGTCAGAAGTATGGACTATACAGTCCACATTGTTTGGACATACCAAGTTTGTTTATTTGTTGTTCTGTTGATGGACATTTAGTTTGTTTCCAGTTTGAAGTTATTACAAACAGTGCTATGAATACCTGTATCTGTCTTTTTTTTTTTTTAAAAAATTGTTATGGTAAAAATATGCATAATAAAACATATCAACAATACTTACATCCATAACTCAGTAACATTGGTTACACTCAAGTTGTGCTTTGATCCATTCAACCACCACTAACACAAACTCAATGCCCCCAAGTAAAAGCTTTCGTTTCCCCCCATACCTGTACTTTTGTGAACATGAGCATGCATTTCTTCTGGGCAAAAGATTTAGGATTGAAATACTGAGCCATAGGTATACATATGTTTAGCTTTTTGTGCATAACTACTCCTGGTGTGGCGCTGTAGCATCACCACAAGGTCAGCAGTTCAAACCTACCAGCTGCTCCTGGGAAAGCCTATACAGGGTCACTATGAGTCAAAACTAACTCTAAGACACTTAACAACCACAACTTGCTATTATCTAAATCTTGGAATTTAGATGCCCCTGCACTTTAGTCATTTCACTGGGGCAGGGACCAACCACCAAGTGGAGCCTCTACCCAGAGACTGGAAGGGATGGAATGTAACTTGAGCCTCAGGGCACAATCCCAAACCACACAAACCAAGTCCTGGGGTAGTGCAGAAATGTAGGGAGTAAAGGAGCAGAGTATTCTGATCAAAGTTCTGTGACTTTAGGGAAAACCTTGAGCTCAACTATCCCTGACATTGTTATTCAGAGCCCTTTCCTTCCTTCCACCTCCTTTTTGCTCAAAAGTTTCATAAACTCAGTTACCTTTTGGGTGGAAAGTTGCCCAAAGTTTTGTTTAGGACAAAACTTCAGAGCAGGAAAAATTTGTGCCAACAAATTTTGGGTGTATCTTAGAGATACAGATGCCTGAGAACCAGAAAGCTGTGTTTGACCTACCAATGAGGAGGATGATTCCCTGCCCTTCTTGTAGGGCAGACCCTGTTTGGTGGGGAGATGGAGGTGGGAATGATTACGGACCTGAGAAGGCTGGGTGAGGGCCCTGTAATGAGCAGGTCTTTGGATGTTGTTGTTGTTGTTGTTAAGTGCCGTCGAGTCGGTTCCGACCCATAGCGACCCTGTACAGGGTTTCCGAGGGTGTAAATCCTTACGGGAGTAGAAAGCCTCATCTTTCTCCCGCGGAGCGGCTGGTAGTTTCGAACCACTGACCTTAAGGTTTGCAGCCCGATTCGTAACCACTACGCTACCAGAGCTCCTTAGGTCTTTGGATGGAGCTACATAATGCGCCAGACTGCAAAGCCATTTGAACTGCAAGGTCAGTGGTTTAAGCTCACCAGATGCTGCTTGGAAACCCTATACAGAGTTGCTATGGGTCAGAATTGACTCGATGGCACTTGACAACACCAACAACATATGTGGGGTTGAGCCAGTGTCAGCCCTGTTTCGAGCCAAAGAAGGTAAGCTGACTGAGTGGCAGAGTTTCATAAGATACAAAGTCTGTGCTTGCTGGATGGGGCTATCTATTTCCCCAGTAGTCTTTGATTTACAGAAAGAGGGGAGGGCCTCCTGCAGAACTGCCCTCAGGACCCTGCCAAGTTTTCAGGCTACTTGCCATCTTCTAAAAGTGCTCAGAGCCCTCTTCATTTGCCTGCCCACCTGCGTACTCAGGAAACTGGTGGTTGTGGTGGGGAAATTCAGGGCTAAGATGAATTCCCTTGGGGTTTGTCTTCTGTCTCCTCACATATTTCTCTCCTGGCAGGAGTGGCTGTGGAGGAATTCAAGAGGGCAGGTATTCACAGTGGTCCAGGTGGACCTGGAGTGCCCAGTTTTACTTGAGACCACTCACTAGTCATGGCCAAGCAGAGAAACATTAATGGATCAGAAAGGAGACCTGGTGGCAAAATAATTAAGCACTCAGTTGCTAATTGAAAGGTTGACAGTTCAAACCCACCCAGAAACACTACAGCCTAGAAAACAATGAGGTAGTTCTACTCTGTCACTATGAGTCAAAAATTGACTCAGAGTCTACTTCCTACATGGAAGTGCCTACTTCCATAGCAACATAAAAAGGTAGACAGAAATGGGTCAGACAGGACCTCCATGTTTTCTTAGCCTGTTTAACACTTCTGTGGATTTCGACTTCAGACTCTTAGGTTCAGGTCCTAACTCTTGTGATGGTGATCAGATTATGTTTTCCTCCTTTTTGCAGGTGTCCAAGACTTAGACTACTTATGTGCTGGGTGGGGTGACTGTTATACCAGTGAAACATGTATACTCTAGAAAGCTCCCAACCTGGGCAGAAATGACTCTAACATAGGAATGGTAAATCCTGTTAAGAGGCTGCGAAACTTCAATAGAGGAAAATAACATGATAATGGGGAGGGGGTGAATATGTAAAATTATGAAGGGCTTGTAGTGATGCTTCATACTGCTCCATTAGTTCTAAAATGGATTTTATGAACATTGACTAGTGTCCAAAGGGAATAAGTTGAAGCAGTAACCTGAAAGATGCCAAGTACCTCATAATTCAACTAAAGATAGTAAGAGGGAGAAGGCAGCAGATTCTGCCTGAGATGTTTGATGACCCTTGGAGACAAGTGTCAGGGTATGGGCAGCTCCTGTAGATGATAGGCTGAGTAGGACTTATGAAAGTAGAGAAAAACATCCAGTAAAGGGCAGCAGTTAAGTGACCTCACCCCCTCTCCTTGGAGTACTTCTGGTTGAAGCTTTCCCCTGTCCACTACCCTTGTCCTTGCTCCTTCATTGGGGATGCCATGTTTTAGAGAGATAGTGTGAAACCAGATGGATGAAGGCCTGCATTGATCACTGATGTTAGGAAAGTAAGCAGGAAAAATCCAGGAAGTCCAAAATCAAGGACTTGGAGATACATTTTCAGGACAGATATAAAGGGCAAGATTGTTGCCCTGAGGCAATTTCTAAACCAAGTAACCAGTGAGGTCACTTGGAAACGTGAAGTGGTTCTACTCTTTGGGTGACAGGTTGCCTGGGCTCTCTCACTATTTTCTAGGGACCATTATGTGAATATGGTACTGTACTAGCCTAAGATCCCTGTTGGCCCTCATGTAGGAGAGAGGGTTCTACC